GGCCAAGAACACTGGTCCAGACAATGCCCCAACCCCCAGCCTCCGCCAGGACCGTGCCTCATCTGCAACATCCAGGGTCACTGGAAAAGTGACTGTCCCTCCACACCTGGCTGTGGTGGGCCAGTCCTTCCAGTCCCTGCAACTCTTGTCACCGGCGATCTTGGGTTTGGTGGCTGAGGACTGAAGAGGCCCAGATTTATCATCTCCGATAACCTTTGAGGAGCCCAGGGTAACGGTCAAGGTAGCAGGTAAGTACATCTCCTTTCTGGTTGACACGGGGTCTACCTTCTCTGTCCTCCCCTCCTATTCCGGTCAAGTTTATCCTTCTCAGGTCTTGGTTACGGGAGTTGACGGCCTTCCTTCTCGGCTCAGGACCACTGGTCCGCTTTTTCCTAGTCATTCCTTCTTGCCCCACACCACTCCTGGGTCAGGATCTTCTGACCAAACTCAGGGCTACTCTCTCATGGTTCCAACACCCTAGTGCTGCTCTCATCCTCCCACAACTCCAAACATCTCCTAATCCTTCTCAGGACTACCCACTGTCTCCCTCCACTGTCAACCCCATGTTCTGAAATATCTCTATCCTAATTGTTGCCACCCATCGTACCCCAGTCCTCATTTGCCTTAAGAATCCCTCTTTTCCCTCTCGCTCCCAGTTTCCAATTTCCCTCACTCACCGTCAGGGTCTCAAACTCATCAGCCAACAACTCCTGGGAAAGGGACTCCTTATTCCTATCAACTCGCCCTATAATACTCCCATTCTCCCTGGAAAAAAGCCTGACAGTTCTTATCGCCTAGTTCAAGACCTTCGCCTCATTAACGAAGTGGTGGTGCCTGTCCATCCTGTAGTGCCAAACCCCTACACCCTTCTGTCTCATACACCATCTTCTACCCCACACTTCTCTGTGCTTGACCTCAAAGATGCCTTTTTTACCATTCCTCTGGATCCTCAATGTTACTTACTATTCGCTTTTACTTGGGAAAACCCGGACACACACCTCCCAGCAACTGGCCTGGACAGTCCTGCCTTAGGTTTCCCGGGACAGCTCTCAACTGTTTGGTCAGGCATTAGCCAGTAATCTCTTGTCATGTCATACTCCACCCCACACTCTCCTCCAGTATGTTGCTGATCTCCTCCTCTGCCGTCCTTCTCTGCCACAATCTCAGCAACACACTGCACAACTCCTCAGCTTCCTGTGCTCCAAAGGATACTGTCTCCCCATCCAAAGCTCAACTTTCAGTTCCCATAGTCATCTATCTGGGTCTTCAACTAACTCCTTCCTCCAAACAGCTGACAGTGGACCACAAGCAGGCCATCCGGGACCTTCCCTCCCCTAAATCGACAAAACAAATCCTTTCTTTCTTAGGTTTGGTTGGACTTTTCCGTCTTTGGATCCCTAATTTTGCTTTCCCAGCCACGCAACTGCACAATGCAGCAAAAGCCTCCCTGAAGGACCTCTCCAATCCCCCGGGGAGTCCGCAGAGTCACACATATCCTTCTTCAGGCACCTGTCCTTACCCTTCCTGATCCAGAAAAGCCTTTGCTCCTGTTCACAGACGAATGTCGGGGTACTGAGGCAGGTGGCCTGTTCCAGCCTCTCGGACCAGCCCTGCATCCTATCCCTTATCTCTCCAAGCAAATGGATCCCACCGTTAGGAGCTGGCAACCCTGCCTTAGAGCCCTGGCGGCGGCAGCTCTACTCACCCGGGAATCCCTCAAACTTACTCCGGAAAGACCCACCCAAGTACATTCCTCGCACTGCCTTCAGGCCCTCGCTCTCCCCGCTCGCTCTCCACTCTCACTCCTTCCCATTTACAGTATTTCCATGTGCTCTTTATTGAAAATCCCCTGGTGAGTCTCACTCAGTCTAATTCTCTCAACCCAGCCACTCTCCTGCCTGTCTCTGGCCACCTTCTGCCATTCATTCATGTCCTAAAATTCCTGGAAGAAATGCAAACCTCCAGACTGACTCATCTTTGTCAGATGACTCCTGTGTTTGTAGACTGACAGCTCTTGTTAAGATGCACGTGGTCAGCGGCGGGCCACCTAGGCCACTGTTACCATCGATCAGCTCACCAACTGCCTGGACACCTACCCAGACAGAATTGACCTCTCCCTACTCAGGCAACTACTCCAGGAACAGGCAGACCGTTACTTACCCAGTCCTGCCTCGGATCTCGACCTCCTCAACCAACCTTCTCCACCACTGCATCCAGGAGACCAAGTCCTGCTCAAATCGCTTCAGCCAAAGCCACTGTAGCCTCGGTGGATCGGCCCACGCACGGTTATTCTCACCACTCCTACAGCGGTAACACTTCTGGGACACCCATCCTGGCACCATCTATCAGGGGTCAAACGTGCCCCCGAAGACAAACAGTATGTATGTCGTAACCTGGGTCCTACTAGGATGTGCATTTCTTGTCAAAATCTCCCCTAGCTCAGTGTCCTGTGTATGGAAATTCAAAGTTAGGGAGACCTTTGTCTCAGGATCCACTGAGACCACCCACTAGGTGGGTACTGCGAGTGCCCACAGGCCGGATGCACAGCACTTATCACTCTCACCCTAACTTTTTCATCGATTAATAACCCTATGAACACCTTGTTTTGTTTCTTTACCATCAAACCTTAGATCACTGCAAAAATACCTATAGAAAATATGGGGGGTGCCCTTAGCAGTCATGCACAGTGCACCTTCCAGACAAAGGCCAAATGTTCTCTCTGGTCCGTCATAATACGGGCTTCAATATGAGTCAAGTTAGCTATGCTATTTCAGATCCTTGGGACCAACGTTGGGTACAGGGAGTCCAAGCCGCAGGGTACACTGGCTGGCATTCCTATCCAGTGGCAACACTGTCCATCTCAAGGGAATATGTCCTGACACAAAATGCCACAGTCCAAGTCTCCCAGGACATCCTCCATTCAGAACAAATCCTATAAAATTAGCTAACATCATCAGAAAAGACCGAGACACCCTCAACCTAAATTCATATAATCCAAAACACTATAACCTTCCTAAATGACTCTTTTGGGACTTACACCTCCTCTTGTTTCCTCTGTGCTTCCCTTCGGAGGCCTCTACTGGCAGCAGGTCATGCACAATTAATCTCAATACCACTACGACCAAGATAACGGACGCTGCTTGCCAGACTCCCCAACTCTCAGTCACCCTATGGGACTCCAATCACAGCTACCCCTGCTATCAAACTAATGCCCTTGTCAGCTTTCATTCCTGTGCTTCTAATATTTTGGTTACTTCTGTGCTCCGAACAACAGCAAAGAGAAACTTTTTCTGGTGCAATGGCTCTCTCTCTCAGTGTATTAATTCTGCTACTCCAGGCCCACGTATCCAAGTCCTCGTGGTCCCACAGTTAGCTCTGTACAGACGGTCTGAGCTAGGTTAGTTATTCTCACCACATTGGACTAAGCAGGCAGCCTTTCTTCCAATCATGGTTGGAATCAGCCTGGCATCATCGATAGCAGCTTCAAGTATGGCGGGTAGGGCCCTGGGACACAGCCTGATTTCTGCCCAGGAATTTTATGAACAAATTGATACCTCCTTAGAAAAAACCTATGTCTTCAACATCATTAAAAAGACAGCTCACCTCCCTGGCACAGGTCACTCTCCAAAACCAGCGGGCTCTGGACTTGTTAACAGCTAATAAAGGGGGTACCTGCCTGTTCCTCAGGGAAGAATGTTATTACTAGTAAAACCGGGGACTCCAACTCTCCGCTGACATGGTTTCAAAATCCTATAGTGTCAGGGCTCCTCCCACTCTTGGGGCCAATACTAATGATAACCTTATTTTTTTCTTTTCCCTCCTTGCCTCCTAAAATTCATACAAACTCGCATTCGGGAAATGTCTCCTACCACCTTTAACCAACTCCTTCTCCACCCATATTCTCGCATCCCTGCAGAAGACCCTCATAACCAGGCCTGAGCCACCCCCTTGATCTTCGCCCCTTTTCAGCACTAAGTAGCCACAGAAAGAACCATCACCCCTTTTCCTATCAACAAAAAGCTGGTATGAAAGGTCCATGCAGCAGGCTGGAATGCAGGAGCTAACCAGGTAGCCCACCTGGGGGGCAGGAATGTGGATACCTGCCTGGAGGACACAGACAATGAGCCTCCCCCCTCCCCCTACCAGTCTTGTCTCAGACAAAGAACCTATACCTGCCCTACAAACTTTTCCTGCCTTAGGAGCCCAACTTCCCACCTGACCTCTCCTCACCCTATAAAACCCTGCTTCCCCCTAACAACATGTGCGGCTTCACTGACCCCCACCTTGGGTGCATGAGGTCTGCCCGGGGCGCAATAAACTTTCCCTCCCTTTGAGAAATTTAGCCTGGCTCTCCTTTTCTTTACCGCACCGAACCTTTCAAGTAAAATCACCATGCATATTATATTTAATGCCTTTTTCACTGATCAGAATTTCCCAATATTTGATGATTCCATTTTTCTGGGATATCATGGACACATCTCTACAAATGGAGATTTTCCCTTAAAAATGTGTTCTTAGAAGTTTGGTATCAACTAGTTGGCTATTCAGAGTTTTTCTCATGACTTTTTTTTTTTTTAAACAAATCATCAGATCAAAAAATCCTTTTGCTAAATGCATAGGTCACAATGATAAAATTTGTTCCTCTACAGATATTTCTGACTTAAGGATTTAATGAATTGAAAACAAACAGCAACAAAAGGAAAACTCTGATTAAGAAAAGTAGTTTTGACACCACATGGCAGTCTCTTATAAGTAGGAAACTCATCTTTATACTACTTATTACATTTTTTTCTTTGGACTTGGCTGTAATGATCTTCTGGAGGACTGTTTGTATTATGTAATTCACTCAACAAAACTCAGCATGTGGGAACTGATACTGTCTGTTAAGTCCAGAGAGAGATGTGAGAGCTGGGGAACAGGTCCTCACATGGCCCAGTCCAGGTGCATCTGGATCCTAATGGGAGCACACCCAGGCTGGAGATGCCCTCGATTCATGGGACTCAGCCCTTCCCCACCTTTCTGTCATGCAGCAGCAGCTTTCTCAATGCCCCCTTCACATCTTTGTTTCTGAGTGTGTAGATCAGGGGGTTCAGGAGCGGGGAGACAGAGCTGTAGAAGAGGGTGAGGAACTTGCCCTGATTCTGGGAAGAGCTGTTTCCAGGCTGCATGTACATGTAGATGATGTTTCCATAGAAAAGAGAGATGACAGTGAGGTGGGAGCCACAGGTGTTGAAGACCTTTTTAATCCGTGATGCTGATCGAACTTGTAACACAGCCCTCACGATGCAGCCATAGGAGATCAGGATCAAGATCAGGGGCATCAGCACAATGATCACGGACAGGACAAAGACCGTGGCCTCCACTGCTGCTGTATTGATACAGGCGATCCTGATCAGGGCAGGTAATTCACACAGGAAGTGGTTCAGTCTGTTGTGTCCACAGCGGGGTAAGTGCAGGGTGATAGAGGGCATGACCACGGAGTTGGCTGCCCCACAACCCCAGGCCATGGACACCAAGACCAGGCAGAGCCGGGGGTTCATGATCACCATGTAGTGCAGAGGCTTGCATACCGCAATAAACCTGTCATATGCCATGACAGCTAGAAGCAGGCACTCCACAGTTCCCAGCCCCAGGAACAGGCAGAGCTGAACAGCACAGCCTGCATAGCTAATGGTCTTGTCCTGCCTGCTGAGGTTGTACAACAGCTGCGGGATGGAGGTGGTGGTGAAGCAGAGGTCCAGGAAGGAGAGGTGGGTGAGGAAGAAGTACATGGGGGTGTGGAGCTGGGGGTCCAGCCGGGATACCAGGATGATGGTGGTGTTGCCCAGCAGGGTCAGCAGATAGGTAATCAGGATGACCACAAAGAGGACCCTCTCCAGCCGGGGTTGGTCAGAAAATCCCAAGAGGACGAAGCTGCTCTGGGCGCTGTCATTGGCTGTCTCCATCCCTCCAGTGGTGGCTGAGGCCGGTGGCCGTGGTGCTGGTGGCGCAGGAGAGGGACACTCACTCCCGGTCAGATGTGCTTCTCTGCTCCTGGACGTCAGCCATGTCTCCCGTGCTGCTGTGACAGGTGCTGCCCTGCTCCACCCTGTCTACAACAAGGGAAACCGAGGCAGGTGTGTGTTGAACAGAGGGTGACTATATGAAGGGGTGCAGAGTTGACATGAACCCAGGAACACAGCACCACCCTGGCCCCAGTGACAGGAGAGGCTCCGGTGGCCATTAGCATGTCCACCCTCCTGAGACTCCGTCCCCGAGCTCCTCTGAGCCCCGACCCCTGAGCCCGGCCCTCCCTGCACGGGTGCGGGCAGTGTCCAAGGTGCAGGGCACTCTGTCTGCCCAGTTCTCATCCCTTAGCAAATGAGATACAGTTACGATGGTTTGGGAAGCTTATTGACACATTACCTTGTTTTCTTATTGGAAAGTATAATGTTCAAGTTACCTCATTTGTTTTACAGGTGTGGTTTGAAATTATTTTAATACGTGCAGATATTGGTGACCATGAATGTTTCTAGATATCTTACATTAAGTTTATTACTCAAAGAAAGAAGGAACAGGAGCTTATGAAATTAGACAGGGAAATCAAAAAAAAAAAAAATCTAACCAGGAGGATCTGTCCTCATTATATGTCCAAACGTAATTTAAAAATATAATCATTAAAGGGGGGAGAGGAGAGGAAGGATTTAAGTCAAAATAAGGGGGGGTGCAATTGTATGGGGAATATAACCAAAATGAAAATGCATACATTTTGCAAAGATGAAAAATGATGTAGGAATTATATAAAATAAAAAAATATATAATCATTAAAATATGGTAATTGGGCTTGGGGCTGTGTAGACCCCTACTTCACCCTTTATTACCCAAAATTGCACTTGAGTATGTAAACACTAAATAAGAGTTTGAGAATCTGAAGTGTCTGTTCTTTCTTTGAGCCTCTGATCTTCTTGGGTTCAAAGAGATCACCAAGCAAGAAGTATGAGGAATATAAAAATAAAATTTATTAATTAAAAAAAAAGAAATTAAAAAAAGACACCATCATTACCAAAAAAAAAAATAAATAAATAAAAAGCTCCTGAATATTTAAAAAAAAGACAACACCAGAAAAAAATAAATCTGATTGCATATTAAAAAAAAAAAATCAGTGGTCTGAGAAACATAGATTAGCCAATGTAAGAAACAGTGAAGACCAGAGAAAATTGGTGTGGCATTTGATAATGGTCTTGTTTAATCATTTTTTTCCAAGAAAGTGACAAGAAAAGACAGAACACAATAAAAACAGAAGTGACATGAATTAGTGGTCGGCTGGATGACTGTGATTTAGAAGCAACATGACTTTAAAACATTAAAATTTTCTCATTGATGATTAAGGGCATAAAAATTTAAATCAAAGAGTCTTGCTTTCTAGATAGGGAGGTACCTTGAAATGTAATATGTGCCCAGCTGGTAAAACCGTGAGGAAACCAGGCCCATGGAATCATGAATTTAAATGGGAAGGATGTCTGCAGGAATCTCGAAAGAAGATAATTAGAAATACACAGGTGTGCTAGCACCTTACCTGTCCCCCTCAGACAATTCTCCCTGCAAGTTAAAATCACATTAACAAATTGCCGGGGAAGGGAGGTAGGGAGGAGGCAGGACTCAAGCAGGAAAAGGACGGAGCTAACCTTCCGCCCTCATGCAAACTCAGTGTTCCCCACCAAGCGCCTGCCGTGTCCTGACCTGAATGGAGAGCGCAGCCAGAGGCGGGTCCCCCGCAAGGAGCCCACATGCGGGGTTTGCCCTCGTGGGGGACACTTGCGTGGACACAGCCCAGGCATGCCCAAGGAGGCGCAGTCCCTGCTGTTCGCGTTGTACTCCAGGGGCCTGGAACTGGACAGCAGCCTCGTGGCCTGATCTGAGGGACTCGGGATCGCTTTTGAAGGACCCCATGATGGCTCAGGGGTCGGCGGCCACTGGGTGGCTGGGCGAGGGCAGATGCCCCTGAAGGCCCCCTCGGCTGCCAAGGCTCCTCTCATGCTTTTATTCGTCTGGCTCAGGTTCAAACACACACAGACTGGCTGCCGGGTGGGCGGCATGGGCTTGAATAGACTGGGAACGAGCAGAATTGAGTGGGTTTATTCAAGTATCAAGAGTGAGGATTTGGATTTGGAAGAAGTAGGGCAGAATTTACCGGAATTGTTCCTGCAAATTCAAGTTTCAGTTCATTTGGTAAGGTGGTTTGTTTTATTTTATAAGGTGCGTTTACATCTTCCATAAGGTAGGAGCCACATGTTGTGAGGATGCAAAAATACTGATGCTGTCCAGGAGGGAGGACGGGGTGCTGCAGCTTTATCACATGCCCCCTGGACTCCCCACCCCATTGTGATGAAAAAGCTGTAGCGACACAAAGTTCAAGCCCACTGTGAATGGCTCCTGGCTCCTCGCTGGCTCTGCGGGCAGCGGCTCCTTGGCCTTGGGCTGCAGAGCCTGGCCCAGGCAGGAGGAGGGTTGTCCTCCCTGTCTGGAGAAGGCATAGCTCTCCAGCCTGCCAGAGGGGCCTGGAAAGGTTTGCCATGCGTTTTCTAGAAGCTCCTACTGGGATCCACGTTTTCAAAATGGGGGTGGCCAGACCCTGCACCTCAGGGGGACTTGCCAATGACCAGGGGTTGAGAACACTCCCTTCCATGAGGTTCTGAATCTCCCACATCCAGAAGCATCTTTCTGTCGTCGCCGGAGGAAACATGGTTCCTCCTAAATGTTAGTAATGTAAAAAAGAAAACTTTAATTTTACCTGTGACCCTGTTTTCTCTCTGGTGCTGTCCGTGTCTCCTGCAGAGGAGCCTGTGTGGGCACTGGATGCCGTTCAGGGTGGAGTAGCTGGACCCGCGATGCATAAGTGGTGCACGCTTGGCGGGGGAGTCCGTCGGGGTGCAGACGTGTCCTCCCTGTTCCTGTCCTGGGGGCTCCCCAGGGGCTTCTGCTGACACCGCCACCCGCAGCGCAGCCCGGGAGCTGACTGCACCCACCACCCTGCTCACCTCCTCCCGCTGCTGCCCGCGGTCACTGTCACGGTCCAAGTGCAGGTCGGGCGGGGCCTCCAGTCTTGTCAGCGTCTTCTCCTGGGAGCACCCCGGGGTCCAGACAGGTGCGCAGGTATCGGGGCGTGATTGTGCCTCTGCCGGCCTGGTCTCCCTTTAGAAGCAGGGGGATGTTGGTATTTGTGCCCAGGGCACCCAGACAGTGGCGGTTGGGTGAGGCTCGCATGGGGAGCGCAGCAGTGAACCCTGGGTGGTCAGGTCTCGTCAGCAGACCCAGGTGTGAGGGACCTTCTGATCCCTCAGGGTCATTACTGCAGGCGCTGAGGTGTGTCACAGGCAGGATCCCATCAAGCTCCCCAGTGGCCACCGCGTCCTGCAGAAAATGAGGACCATGAGAATTTGTCCTTTGGTATAACAGTGTTATTTCATGTTTGAAAAATCGAGAACTCATCAATGTTGTTCAATGAACCCAATCACTGAGGGGCTGTCGGCTCCTCCTAAGTCCCCAGGCTCCCGATGGGCTCAAGTTACTGAGGCAGAGACAGCCCCCAGCTGGCTCAGATCCTACTGTTTATTCTCCTTATATCTACTGAATGTGTAGCGACTATACTAACATATTTTTTTCTAAGGATTTTGTGCATGAAAAAGAAAGAATCCATTATCTAGAACGTAGAGCTCTTCCAGAGGTGCATAGATGAATATAATAATTTTAGTAATTAAAGTGGTAACTGTGGTGCGTGTGTGCATGTGTGTGTGTGGTGACTGTATTTAGTATCTGTTGAGGGCAGTATGACATCACTAGTCTGGAAATGTTAAGTGAAAATAGATGAGTAATTATAGAAATTGGGACCCTGTAAGTAAAGTACCACCATCGGATATAACCATAACACTTTAATGAATTTGTTAGGAATTTCAGAGAATTTTATATTATGTGAATATGGCTGTTCCTGCCTTTCTTTGGGTCCCATTTGCTTGCAGAGTTGTTTTCCATCCCTTTAACTTCAGTCAGTGTATATCCTTGGAACTTAGGTGCATTTGCTGAAGGTGGCAGAAGGTTGGCTTCCGTTTCCTAACCCAACTAGAGAGTCTGTGTCTTTTATTGGTGAGTTCAGGTCATTGATGTTCAGAGTGATTATTGGTGTAAAAGCCTGGCACTGCCACTTAGCTTTGGTGCTATTTCATCCTTGTTCAGTTCTTTGTATTTACTTCCCTCTTTGGTTTAAGTCCCAAAGTTCTCTTTAATGTTTCTTGCAGGGGGTTAGCAGATACAAACTCACTAAGATTTGCTTTCAGAACAGCCTTATTTCTCTCTCATGCAGGAAGAAGAGCTTTGCAGGACAAGCTATTCTTGGCTGGCACTTGGTGTCTTGGAGTATTTTGAATGTGTCGTTCCATTCACTTCTTGCCTGGAGTGTTTCTTCCAAGAAATCCAACATCAGCCTAATCAGGGTTCCTTATGGTTATCTGTTTCTTTCCCCTTGTTGGCATTATTGTTTTTCCTTTATCTGGGGCTCTGGAAGTTTTACTTACTCTGTGTCTTGCTGTAGTTCTCCTGTTATCCAGTAGTTTGGTGTTCTTTTGGTTTCGTGGATTTCTATATGTTCATTTCTTTCTTCAAGTTTAGGTAGTTTTCTTCCATTATTTCTTTAAAAGGTTTTTCAGCTCCCTTTCTCTGTTCTCCATATGGGATTCCTATGATTCTTGAATTTATTTTCCTCATGGTGTCAGATAATTCTCAAAGTGTTTCTTCATTCTTTTTCCTTTGTATTTCTCCTTTTTCTCACTTTCCCTCATTTTCACCTTTGAAATTACTATTTCATTAGGTTTATCTTGCTTCCATGGCTTTCTCCTGAAATTTATTCTCTTCCATCGATCTTTCTTTATTCTGCAATTCTGTCATTTTCTTATTTAAAGTGTCAATTTTGACT